CTCAGAGTTCAGGTAACACATCCCACACTGGAGTGTGAGGCACTGAGTTCCACCTTCACTTTCAATCCAGCTTCCTACTCCACACTTGGGAAACAGCAGAGGATGGCTCAGGAACTTGAGTCCCTGCCACCCACGTGGGGTACTTGGATGGACCTCTTGACTGTTGGCTTTGATCTGGCCCAACGCCCACTATGGCAGGCGTTTGCGGAGTGAACCAGCACACAGATGATATCTCTCTCTCCCCTTCTCTGTCACTTTTAAACAAACAAACAAACAAAAAGATTAGAAAGAAAGGGGCTGGCATGTTGGTTTATCAGGCTAATCCTCCACTTGTTAGTGCAGCATCCCATATGTGTACAGGTTCAAGTTCCAGCTGCTCCACTTCTGATCCAGCTCCCTGATAATGTGCCTGGGAAAGCAGTGGAGGATGGCTCTAGTGCTTGGGCCCCTGCATCCACATGGAAAACCAGGAAGAAGCCCCTGAATCCCAGCTTCAGATCAGCCCAGCTCTGGCCACTGTGCTCGTTCTGGGACTGAGCCAGTGTATGGAATACTTCTCCCTCCTTCCATTTCTAGCCTCTCTGTAAAATATGCCTTTGAAACAAAAATATTTTTTAAAAAAAGAAAAAGTTGTATATTATGTGTGACAAGTAGTGAAGTGAAAAAAAAAAAAAACAACAGAAGGGAAATATGAAGTGTGGGCTCAGAAAAGAGATGCTGGGAATAAAAAGTTTGGCCAAGGAAGACATATCTGAGGAGACTTTTGAGGACAGATTTTAAGGAACTGAAATAGGACTGATGAATATCGTCCGGAAAAAGCATTTCAACCAGCAAGAAGAGCAAAACAAAGATACTGAACCACTGTGGTTACTGTGAAGAGGCAAATCAGATGCCAGGTGAAGCAAGTGTTCATAAATGTGTTAAGTCCAGAAGGTAAGTACCAACTCCTGAGGCTCTGCCACAAGGACAGCACTGGATACTTTGTGAGAAGTCCTGTGGGCAGTAAGGAAAGAAGAAAATGTCCTTGGAGTGGATTTAAGAGGAAGGAACTAAAATCGGAAACAGTCTGGGTGGTATTGTGGCATAACAATAAAGCCATGCTTGCAAGGCAGGCATCTCAGAAGGGGCCCTGGCAGGACTGCTGCCCTTCCATTCCAGCTCCCTGCTAATGTGTGTGGGAAACTAGCAGACCATGGTCCAATTCTTGGGTCCCTGGGAGACCCAGAAGATCCTGGCTCCAACGAGTGCCACCATTTAGGGAATGGAAAACCAGCAGATGGATCTCTCTCTCTCTCTCTCTTCACTCTGTACACTCTGCCTTTCAAACAAATTAACTTTTTCTAAAAACCAGAAACAGAGTAGACTTTCAAGGAATTCCGCTCAAAGGAAAACAAAGAAATATGATAGTGATTGGATGGGGCCTTGGAGGGCTATGATGAGAAAAAGTCTTCGTGGAGGGTGATCATGTGTGACATCCCTCGGAAGAGAACTTCTCTCTCTCGGGGTACCCCACTCCCAAGCTACACACTTCTCCCAATAGGGGCCACAGATGCCCATCAACCGCTCTGTTGCCATTCATTAATGTTCATCAAGTACGAACCACTGCCATGTGCACTGCTTAGAAAATAGAGACAACGTCCACCCAAGAAAGAACTCTCGAGGCGAGGAGAAGTCCCACAGGTCCCCCTTGATGAAGCCAACAACTTAATAAGGAACAAAGTAGCTGGACAGGGAAACAGCAGCTGCCCCACAAGAGGGAAATACTCGGAGTGACAGATGCTTTAGTTGAGGGGGCTGCGAAGTCACCTCTGTTCCTTTCTGGAACCTTCCTACACGGACTCTCTTACAGCACGTTCCATTTTCCGCCCCTGGCCCAGACACTCTTCCCTCTCGTTGCTTCAGCAGGTCTCGCCTCCCCAGCGCTGTCCCCTAAAGGTCCCACTTCTTGCCTCCTGAATCCCTTGAGCAGTCTGTGGGTCCTCAGAGTTCACCGGTCCCTGGCGGCCTGCGCCCCTCAGTCCTGAAGGGCTCGCTAGGCCGGGGCTCCGCGCCGCGTGGCCCCGCCCCACGGTCACATGACCTGGCCCGACGCTCCGCCCACTGGCGCGGCGGCCGCCCCGGCCGGCTCTGGGCCGCAGGCAGGGCCCGAACTCAGCGCGGTCTCCATGCCCACTGGGCTGCGCTGCGGCCGCGCATCATGAGGGTCTGTCACCTCACGCGGCCGGCACGGGGTGCCCTAGGCATGGGCTTCTCCACCGCTGCAGCTGCTGGCTTCACTCCTGGGTCCGCTTCAACTTTGTCTTCCGCAGCTCCAAGACTGGCCCACTACTTTTCCAACTGTTCCCTTTGAAAAAGATACTCGGTTTTTGTTTCTTCGGTTATTTTCTCACCTGCACCCTGCAGTTAGATGATCTTGGCAAGAGAACAGAACCCTCGTAATTTTCTCCCGGCCTTCCCCAGATAGCGTGTCCCCCAAACGTTATATAAATCCGATTCCGGTGCGGCTGAGTTCAGAGGCTCTGTAGCTCTGGCAAGTGAAGACGCTTGTCAATGTGTAGATGCTCTGGCAAGTGAAGAATGTTTTGAAAATATTTTCCCCGTGGCCTAGCAGCTAAAGCCCTCGCCTTGCATGCGCGGAACCCGCCCGCTCCGGGTCCCCGCTCCCAGGGCGCAGAGCTGGCAGCAGAGCGTCTCTGGGGCCGGCTGGATCCTCAGTCACCCGGAGGGTGGCGATGCCCGATGCCTGCCAGGGCTGCGCCAGCACCGGCGCCCGCGGCCGCTTTTCCCGCAGCCAGAGGGGAGGGGAGGGCACGCGGCCTCGAGCTTCCTCTCCCGGGATCCTTCTATGGACCCAGCGCGCGAGGGTTGACCTGAGCGAGGAAGGGCGCCTTGGCCGAATCCCCAGGTCTCGCGCCCGGGTTCCGCTCACCTACTTCCGGGAGTTGGCGCAAGGAGAGCCGTTGGCGGCTCGGGTTCCTTGGGCCGTTAGGCGCCGAGGGCGTCAGTTGGGAGCCGAGGAGCACCGCGGCCGAAAGTGCTCCCTGCTATTGTGCCTGCTCCCCTAGGTGAGTCGGCACCGGGAGCAAGGAGCGCAGTGCAGGAGCTGCAGTTTGCCGGGCCTGCAGCCCTCCCCGTGATTCTGCAGCGCTGGTGCTGGAGTGAGTCTGTCGCCCTCGGAGCCCTCACCCGTCCTTGCCCGCGCCTCAGCTCTGCCCCTCAGCTTGCTCCCACCCCACCGCTGCTGGCCTAGACAGCTGCTCCCACTCGTGACCCTCTCTCTGCCTTATCCCATCACCATGCCAGCGGTCATGAGTGAAGACTGCTGCTCTCATGACCCTATCTTAGTCTCCTGGCAACCTTACCCTTGCCACTCATTGCTCTGGCAACCTGAAAGCCTTATGCAGGATGTGCCCAAGATCCCCCATTTCTGGTGTCCCTGTCTCTGGCTTGGCCTTGTTATCCCTGCCCAGCTCCCCACAGTTTGATCCCAAACTCCCTACCTCTCCCCAACTCCTTCATTGTGACCCATTACAATGACCACCCCTTTCTTAGTAACTTAGTAGTCTTACCCCAAGTCTTGGAAAACATCTACCTCCCAGCCCTTACATACTTTATCTGAGCATCACTGTGCTCCATTAGAGTCGGACCCTGTGGACTGGGGCGAGGATCCCTGTGGACGCAGGAGGGGCGAGGACATGGCAGAAGGCACTGCGCGGAGTGCCCTTGAAGTTCTGCCCCTCGCTCCAAGTGTCTCCTGATGGCGCCCACTTGTGCCTGCCCCAGACGTCCTACTGGGAAGTGCCCAGCTGGGCGGCGCACTGGCACCAGGGTCAGGGCCAGGAGCTGGGGCCTCCAGCACGCAGCCAGACAGGGTGGTAGTGCTGCGCTTGTGTCTAGGGTTCATGCGTTTAGTGGTTTGCCCCTTTTTTGTTGGACAGCATGTTGCAGTTTTCATGTTTTGCTTTTTTAACTCATAATTTTGGTTTCCCAGGGGTTGAGATGGAAGAAGAGCTTTTATAAATTTCGTGGCTGCCCACTTTCCTGCCTTCACTTTGCATAGATAAATCCGGTTTGGATTCTTGTATTATTAAAAGGTTGTGGGTCCCTTGGCCCAAGGAGAGAGAAACCCTCTCCCAGAAGTCGTTGTAGGAGTTTTACCAGCCATTGTGTGTGCTCCCAGATTTATTCTTTTTTTAATTTCCTGGTTTGGTTTAGATTTATAATTTAAAGGTAACTGGCAATGCACTTGATAAGGTTGTACACATATCTGGGTGATGGAGCTGGATTCCTTTATGCTGGTGAGTGGTGAGTGCAGGGGGAGGGAGAGTGGTCGAGTGTGTGTGTGTGCGTGTGTGTACCGCACAGTGTGCCCACTTCCCCTTCTGGTTTAGCTGTGGGAAGGTCTGAGTGTGGGGCCATTGGAAAGCAAAAACCAACCACTGTCTTTACTTCTGAGACGGGAATCAGTAACTACCTTTTCTGTCCCACAAGATATGCAAAAACAATGCGATAATATTCATTTTAAAAGTAAAATCGTGAGTTGTGTTGGCATTAAAACTGTATCTAAAAAAAAAAATACCACAGAGAAATTGAAGGGAAAAACTCAGGAAGACATTTTGCTTCAATATATTCCGTGCAATATTTCATTGCATTGACAATGTTTCTGTTGAAGAAACGGTTATACTTGTATTAGTTTTCAGTATTTCTCAAATATTTTTTTTAAGATTTATTTTTATTATTTTTTTATTGGAAAGGCAGATATACAGAGAGGAGAGACAGAGAGGAAGATTTTCCGTCCGATGATTCACTACCCAAGTGACGTCAACGGATGCTATGCCGATCCGAAGCCAGGAGCCTCTTCTGGGTCTCCCACACGGGTGCAGGGTCCCAAAGCTTTGGGCCGTCCTCAACTGCTTTTCCGGGCCACAGGCAGGGAGCTGGAAGGGAAGTGGGGCCGCCGGGATAGAACCGGCGCCCATATGGGATCCTGGGCATGCAAGGCGAGGACCTTAACCACTGTGCCACCGCGCCAGGCCCTCTCAAATATTTTTTAAAAAATATTTGAATAAGGCCCTGAGCACTTCTGGGCCCTAAGTGTTTGCTCAGCTGCCCCCTAACTCTTGCAGCTTGAGTTCCTGGTATGCTCACCCAATCTGATTAAAAGTGAGGCCTCCCGGGTATCCTCTGCCTTCAGTGCCAGCCAAGCACCCCGGGCCACAGTAACCCCCACCTGTGTTTGCCTTCAGTGAGAGAAGGCTCTGGGGGAGGCCTTATCTCAGTGACCTGTGCCCCACCTCAACTTGGACAGGAAGGAGCTAGGATTGCTCTGTTGCTTCTGGGGCTGACCAGGGCACAGAGCAGAGGAGCGCAGTGAGCTGAGCTTTGAGGTGGGATGCAGCAGCGAAAAGCAGAAAAGCCTCCCCAGGCACGGGAGGGGGCTGGTCCCCAGTTGCATTGCTCTCCAGGGCGCTGCCTGTTGAAGCTTACTGCTTTTGTGCGACTTTGAGGTATGTTCAGGTGCCCTCTGAGAAAGTTCTGACTTCATGTGGGTCTGCCTATAGGGTGGAAGTACCAGTGTGAAGCTTGTGGGCCCTGCACTTCATTGGTTTTTGTTATTGATAAACTGACTTTGTGTGTCCAATTCAGGCTCGGACTGTTTGGATTGTTTGAGTCTGGTCACTTACAGAGGCTTCCTCGGTCTGAAAAGCAGACAGTGGCTGCAGGGACCAGCACCCAACTAGAAGTGTACCAACAGGCCTGTGGACTGTGGAGTGTGACGTAGAATCAGTGTGTGACGTCACCACCTCTCTGGTTGCTCTTGGCTTCAAAACCACTGGTAGGTGTTTTCATTTTGCTACAACACTCCTGATGCTTTGCCGGCAACTAAGAGCGATGGCTGCTATACTTCCTTGCTGGTAGACAGGTGTAATAACAGGGACACGTGGTGCTGGGCCCAGAGGACTGTTGGCTCTCACCATCTTGTCCTCCCTTTGCCTCAGCCCTGAGCTGTTGTGTCTCTTGCGCTTCTTGCACACACTCTGCCTCCTGCTGTCCTGTGGGGTCAAGTTGTTGTGATGCCTCTTTTGTTTGCTTGTTTCTAAGATTTATTTTTATTGGAAAGTCTGACCCACAGAGAGAAACAGAAAGATCTTCCATCCAACAGTTCATTCTCCAAGTGGCCACAATGGCCAGAGCTGAGCTGATTTTCTTTTTAAAATCCTGATCTTGCCATTAAGTATTAGTATTATTAGTAATTATTCTTATTTTCTTTTATTTTAGATGATGTTTACATAGTCAGTCAGGGTGGGAAGGATCTAGAGTTAGGGAGAAGTAGGTGTGATCATTGTTTCCAAGCTTTTTATTTCTTCTTCCCATTTCTGGGGAGAGGGGAGAGATAAGGGGATAGGCCATACTCAGCCTCCCTACCACCCCAGCACCCAAGGATGGGGAAGGGCCACCTGATAACCCAAGGTCACAATGTGGTGCACGCTCTGAAGGCTCTGCCCAGGTGGATGCAATAGTTCAGAAATACTGCCAATCTTGCCAATCTATGGATGAGAAAACCCTTCCAATGGCTGACATAATCAACCTTATAGTCTCTTTCTCCCAGATATTTGCTGTCATCATTTGGCTGGGGTAATTGTCCATATGATCTGTTCTCCATTCTCTGCTGTGGTACCAGATGTCCTTTGCAGGCCCTAATGAGCAACCAAGTCCTCCATGTGTACCATGGTCTGCCATCCAACACTGCATCCTCTGTACTGAGGAGGACCAGTTTTCCTAGATGGGCTCATGAACTTGAGTCAGATGACTTGGGTCAAGCCAGAACCCCCAACCACTGGGGCTCATGGATCCAGCGCCCACCACCAAGCGGGCCCAAGGCCACAAGCCATGCAACCCAAGCCCCTTCCCCATCCCAAGCCTCTGCTCCTCTGGAGTTGGAGCAGAGCCCTGAGCCGGCTCAGTCTTCCAGCAAGGGCTGCATGGACTGACTGCTCAAGGGTATAGATTTTTTTGGTTTGCTTCTTTCAAGATTTATTTATGTAAAAAGCTAAGTGATAGAGAGCTTCCATTCACTGGTTTACTCCCCTAGAGGCCACCATGGCTGGGGCTGGTCCAGATAGAAGCCAGGAACCTAGAACTCTCTCCAGATCTCCCAAATGGTGTCATGGACAAATGTTCTGGGCCATTATCCACTACTTTTCCAAGTACATTAACAGAATCTGGATTGGAAATGGAGCAGCTGGGACTTGAACCTGTGTTCCGAAAAGAATGCTGGCTTCACAAGCAGCGGCTTAATGCACTGTGCCACAACACTGACCCCAAAGGTATGAGTCTCTTGGGGTAAGCTTTATATAGCCCCTGCCTTTAACATCTAGTTAATGCCCTGAGCTAAAGGAAGGCTTGTACTTTATATGTAATATACTAATAACTCTGGTATGTAAAATAATTTTTAATATTTGTTCATTGAGAAGCAGAGCAACAGAGACAGATCTTGCATCCGCTGGTTCATTCTGCAAATGCCCTCAACAGCCAGGGCTGGTACAAACTGCAGCCAGGATTTGAGCTGGGCTGGCAAGGCTGCAGTAACTGCTGGCTAATGTTGAGAACAGAAGTGAGCCAAATCAGGCTGAACCAAACACCCACCAATGTGCATAAGATCTGTGACTGAGTGTTGGTCTGACTGGGGAACTAGGGGAACTCCCCTATTAAGATGCAGTCCCGGCTGCTGGGCATGAGGACCATGGTTGGGAGCAGGCCAGGCCAGGCCAGAGTAGGATACAGTGCCTGTCAGTAGACAAGTGGGTCAGGTCTTGGGGTTGGCCACTAGGGAACCAATGGAATAAACCTAAACAGCGACTGCTTTTTCATACTCGGGACTCCTCTGAGGACACTCTTAAAAGATTACTTTTTCCTCTCTTGTGTTGCTGCCATTTCATAAGCTTAAGTCTGGGTTAATTTTTCTTCCTATTTGGTATCCGTATATTGGTGACTCCTAACTTAACTGCTGGCAATACATGATTGTACAAAGACTGTCAGTTTCCTGTTAACAAAAGCATTCTCTTCCTTTCTGACAGTTGAAGAAGCATCTGTGGGGAATCCCAAAGGGACATTGCTGAGATGTTGCAGGCCTGGAAGTGGAACACCAGCACAGAGTTAATTATTGATCCAGAGATGGACACTTCAGAGAGATGCAACCTTGATATTCCAGACTCTACAAATGAGCAAGTAGACTTGAATGAGAAAAGCGATGTTATCAGTGCACTAAGTTAACCACTGCCTTAATTCTCAGGGAGCAATCTAGATGACTCAGTGTTATCATTCATTAAACTGCTCTTTTCAAGTCCACAAGGAGATAGATCCTTGGTTACTTAAAAAGCAATCCAAGGGATTTCTCTATAAAACCTTACAAAAGGAAATGGAGAAAGATCCTCTTTCTGGAAAGTATGTTAAATATAAACATTCAAGAAAAATTGGATGAGCTTAAAAGAAAAATAGAAGCTCCCATGTTGATGCAGAGTCTGTTAGGTCTCAAAGCAAAACGACAAATCTTCCTAAAGAAGCTAGACAGGGCCCAATCGCAGCACATCAGCTGGCGCCTACCCCAAGCACAAGACAAAGATTATAGAGTGAAAAACATCTTCAAGGGGCCAAAGGGCTTAAGGAAAAGGCAGCAGCAGGAGACAATCAGGAGGAGACAGAGTGCACGCCCCCTTGTGGATGGCACCATGCAAGGCAGGCCGGGGAGCGCAGGAGCCAAGGAGCAGGAGGAGCTTCGTGTGGCCCAGAGACCCTGGCACCTGGTGGCCAACTCCTTCTACCTGGAGCCCCCACTCACAGAGGAAGGTGAAGCCAAGCCGCCTCTTCCTTGAAGAAGCACATCACGGATGGGTCACCTACTGCAGCCCTTGCAAAGTACCCTCCCTGAGCTCAAAAACAAATGGTTAAAAGACACCATGCTTACATTAGAAAACCCAAAGGTAGAGTCAAAAAGAGGCAACAGAACCAAGCTCATATTCCAGAGTGAATTCCTGCTTACGTAAAATTGATCCTCATCCTGTCTTCATAACCGTCAAAGTCAAACTGAGATTAACATGCAGGAGAAAAATTCCCTGAGCACAAAAATGTCAGTAAGGGGCCTCAATTCCTTGTACTACAAAGTCTCATTGACTTACCTCCCTAAGCCTCTCTCTCTGCTGCAAAGTTTTCCTCCCAAGGTCTGAGGAAAGTGCTTCTTCAGAAGTGGTTGCTCTTCCAGAACCTGATAAATAAGATGTTTCTAAAACAGCAGTGCTGCAGGAAACAATTTAGGAACCTCTGGTAGACAGCAGGGCTCTGCAAGTGGAAATACTCCTTGGCTAGGTGAGCGGGTGTAGATCAGTGTTATTTGGCTTGTTTTTGCAAGCAACACTGCTTTATTCTGAGCCTGGGAGTTTGTGGTTTCAAAGCCGGGGATGGCTGCCTGGCTCCTCTGATGGAGTAGAAGGCTCTTCCACTCATAGAAAGTCCAGCTCTGAACCTGCTCTGAGACTTGAGCTTCTCCATGGGCAAAACCCAGGGGCTTTGAAGTGGTGTTCTGTGCATGAGGGTTATAACCACGGACATTGCAGCTATGGCTGCTCTCTTCCCTGGAGAGCTTGCATACACATCTGTGTCAGGATCGGGGGTATTAGCACACTGCTCTGTGAGTACATACAGTATTGTTTATTGTCCAGAACAGTTTTCCACCTGTTTTATTACCCCTTCTCCCCAACAGGTGGGAAGAACAAACACTTTTAATGGGCTTTCACAGAGGAGAAACATGACAGGGGTGTGAAAGGGTGAAGCCAGACACCCGGTCTTCCACCCACCGCTGACTCTCCACGCACTCATGTTCCTTCTTTGTCATGACGCTCACCTCCTCCTCTCACTCTCACAGCAGGGCCTGGGAGAGAAGCCCAGCCACACAACAGCACACTTGACCTTCCTGCACTTGGAAGCTTTAGGACTTGCATAAGTCAAGCTGGAAATACTAGAGATGAATGCAAAGATAGTATCTGCAAAGGCAGTTTTTTTTGCTACCACCCCCAGAGAGCTCTCAAAACATTCTGTGTATGCATAACACCTGGCAATCTATGAATCACTCCACCTGCATCCCAGACCCCTGCCCAGATATAAAGAACCAGGGTGGATGTGGTGCAGCAGAGACCAATAAAGGCTGTGTAAATGAAGGTGTCATAAGGACGGGGCAGAGGGAAGGGTACTAAGGAACAGGTGCCAAGGGACTGCCAGAATGCTTTGGCTCTTTGTAAGGGTGCATTTCATGTTTCTCTTTGTGGCTTAACTAATTGGGTCCCAAAAGCAACCCCCCTAAGACCCCCAAATGATAAACCTATATTCCTTGTATGGCAACTCTTACAGTTGGCAGTGCAGGTAACTTTCTCTTAGGAGTAGGCTTAGGACCTCATCTAACTCCTGAGTTTTGGTCTTCCCACTCCCTTAAAATGTCATGTGAGCTGTCCAATGCACTCACAACCCTAGCAGAGCCTGGCATACTCTGGAATATGGGTTAGGTTTTTCTGCCTTTGAAGAAAGGATGCTGGCCCAAGCTCAAGATCTTCTCCTTATGAACCAGTGTCAAGAGCAAATTCTGCTCAAGAGCTTCCCCCACAGCCAGATGAGCTGGATAGGGATGAGAATGTTTTTCTACAATCAATTGGAAAGTAAGCATCTCCAGTGATTTCCAGTATTTGTGCCACCTTTGGAGCCTCAGAGTTCAAGGTCAACCAAATTTGTTTCACCTCCCAACCTGGAGCAGGATTGCACAATATGAAAAACTTGCCCATCTGGCTGTCAGGACTCCAGAACAAGTCCTGAATATTCTAAATGACTGTATTGTCTATCCTGAATCGTTACCTGTGGAATTAGAGGAGCACAACCAGGTGAGCTCCTGGAGACCTTTGATGGGGCAGAACCATCTGCACTGCAGCCAGAGGACATACCTCAAAGCCCCGAGACTCTTGAGGAGGGCCAGCCTTCGTTGCTCCAAAAAGAAGGCCTAGCCCAGGTTCCACAGCCTCTCAAGGAGACTACACCTTCTCCAATGCTGCAGGGATCTCCAGATCTCTGCTGCTGAAGAAGCTGTCCGGCAGCTTGTTCAAAATGAGATCAGTGTTCCACGTCCACTGCTGCCTTCAACCTTGTCCAGTATCACAGGGAGACCTACAGATGTGACGCTTACAATCACGCTACAGCCAGGCAGTGAAGCGCAAAGTACTCTGGGCCAGCTGCAGGCCCCAGTTCAGCCTGCAGGGATTTGGAAGGGGAATCCCCTCCCTCAATCCCACAAGAGGCTCCAGCTCAGACTCCAGGCCCTTCTGTAGACCTAGAGCCTTTCCCGAGTAATCAAGAGGAGTCTGCTCAGTATGCTGAGCCTTCAGTGGAGGTGAAACCTTCTCTAGGCCAGCAGGTGGCCCCAATTCCTCCTGCTCCAGGCCCATCTGTGGGAACAGAATCTTTTCCAGGCCACCAGGTGACCCCAGCAAGAAGAGAGATCTAGAAAAAGTGATCTTACTTCTGCTGCTTTACTCCTCATATTGCCACAATGGCTGGGGCTGGGCCAGGCCAAAGGTAAGGAGCAAGAGCTTCTTCTGGGTCTCCTGTGTGGGTTCAGGGGCCCAAGCACTTGAGCCATTTTCCACTGTATTCCCAGGCACATTAGTGGGGAGCTGGATAGGAAGTGGAGAAGCTGGTCATCAAACTGGTACCCACATATGTATGGGATGCCAGCATCCTGACAGCCTGACCTGTTACCCTTGACTATTGGAATCAGCAAGGCTTAGTAGACAGCTTGTCTGCCAAGAACTGACTTGCAAAGCAATGAAAGATATTAAATGAACAACCTTGAATATCAGCTACAGGGGTTTCAGAGTTATACTATGAGCTGCAGAAAACCCTGAAAGTTTTCAAGCAAGAGAGAGGTGATCAAAACAGAAAGATTATTTTTTTTTAAAGATTTATTATTATTATTTTTTATTGGAAAGGCGGATATACAGAGAGGAGAGACAGAGAGGAAGATCTTCCGTCCGATGATTCACTCCCCAAGTGAGCGCAATGGCCGATGCTATGCCGATCCGAAGCCAGGAGCCTCTTCTGGGTCTCCCACACGGGTGCAGGGTCCCAAAGCTTTGGGCCATCCTCCACTGCATTCCCAGGCCACAGGCAGCGAGCTGGATGGGAAGTGGAGCTGCCAGGATACAAACTTGACCCATCTGGAATCCCCGCAAATGCAAGTCGAGGATTTAGCCAATGAGCCATCACACTGGTCATGTCTTCTCTCTTCTAACCAAGCTTCTAAGAGCTTTAACTGGAAGAGATCTTCTTCAAACTAAAGAGAAGTCTGTCTCTTCATTGTATGACAAGGAAACGAGAAAGAGGCAGCATCTTGGCCCCAGGGTCATACTGTTAACATCAGAGGAGGGTCTCTTCCCAGCTGGGGCTCCTCCCTGGCTTGTAAGGGTTTGGGGCTGTGAGCTACGTTTTCTGTCAGAAATCAGCACACATGTACCACACAGGCACAGTTGCTGAAAACAATGCACTCTCCTGTTCTGCTGGATTCATAAGGGGTATCTTGGTGTCAGTGTGAGCCTCATCCTTTAACTAATTTCACTAATCACTCTCCCATCAGTGACACCTGCAGTGTGAGGCTGCATGAGCTAGGTAACTGCTGTCAGACTCAGGCCCTGCCTGATGTGATTCAGTTTACAGGGGTCAAGGACTGTGCACATAGAGGCACCTTCTCCCTCACCCCCAGGTGAAGGAGGCATGTGAGACTCAGTCCAGGTGGGGCTGGTGCCAGATGCTAAAGGAGGGAGACAGTGCACGTGCCCCATGTGGTTGTGCGGTCTGTCACTGCACAAGGGCGCTTGGGGAAGGCAGTGGTTGGGGCTGACGACCTCACACAAAGCAGTGGTTCAAGTTGGCCCTTAGCCACTGGGGCACCTTCAGGCAGATCGGAGAGCTCCCAGAAGCCCAGATCCCAGGTCTGTGGTGATTTTGCTTTGTGGTATATGTGGGACAGGGACACGTTTTGACCCGGGCACACCAGAGATGTGCGGGCCATGGAGAGTGACACCAGTCTCTGATTGGCTTGGGCATTTGTTTTCCCCCTGGGACCTTTACGAAGATTCCCTCAAGGGAAGACGGGAGAAGAAGCAGGTAAACTGAGGGACACAGTGTGTCGCTGGAGGGAGGGATGGTGGGAGTAGGGTCAAAACATGCATTCCCCTCCCCATTCCTAAGGGTGCTAAACCTCCTGCATTTTCCTAGGTGGGCTTCTTGGTGAGGTGGCTGCGCTGGCTGAGGGGTGAGCGCAAACCCCGCCGGGCAATGAGCCAGAATGAATTTGGTAAAAAATTATTCAATGAAACCTCTGACGAGGAAGCAATCTTCATGAGGGGGCAAGGTAAATGACAGACTGCCTTCCCCACGTTACCTAACGGGAGCAAACGGGGCGGGCAGAGAGGAAAAGTGGCCTGTTCTGTTCCCCACAGCATGAGCGAAGGCCCGGGCGAGATGGCGGCCGCTGAGTCGACTGCCGAAGGAGAAAGCGAAGCCCCTTAGGAGGTGCTCACCGAGTAAGCCCTTTTGCTGGGGCTGCCTCCATTTATAAAAGCACTTCCCTTCTAATATTCGTGTGTGTGGTATTCATAAGCCATCCCAGCCAAGATGATAAGAAATGAAAGTCTAAGTTTTATACAAATCACAAGGCCTCACCAAGAAGCCCACCTAGGAAAATGCAGGAGGTTTAGCACTGTTGGCAACGCCTGCGTCGCCACGTACTTCCAGCCCCGAGTTGAGCGGAGGGACTAGGGTTATGAGACAGACAAGACAGACAAGACACACAACACACTGAGGCTCATTCTTGTGAAGTGAGGCCTTTATTCAAAGTCGAACTCTCTTATATAGTCTGCTTGGCCCCTCCCAGGATCTTCCCAATGGTTAAGCAACACCTAAACTCCCCCAAGGATGTGCAAAAAGGGGAAGCAGGAAGGAGGGAAATTGCAGTCAAGCCACGGGCTAAATGTATCAGGCCATGATTGCCCTTCCTGTTACACCTTTGAGAAACAGCTGAGCTGTGGAGTTAACCCTTTGGAGACCGGGGCCTACATGTCCCCCCTTTTTGTTTTTTAATGGATGCCTGTCTTAGGTTGTGCAGCAGTCAGTTGAAGCCTTACCCGTCATGGGGAGCCCCACCTGGTGCACGTGGGATCCCTGTCTTAGGCTGGTCATCAGCTCTGCCAGATCTTACCCGTCTCTGGCTGCCCATCACATATCATGCTCAACTGGACTTGAACTCTAGGGTTTTCCACAGCTAAAGTCATCATAGTTTGTCAAATGATGACCTGCTCCCAGGCTTGCCTGTGTACTCTACAGTTCATCTAGCTTGTCAGGTCTCTTCATTCTCTAAAGGAGCAAAGTGGGAAATTGCCACCTTGGCCAAAGTTATGTGCCCAAATACAAGATATGGACTGGGAGTCCCTGTTCTTCCTCTGTGGTGCTTTAATGACACTTCCTAAACGACAGGAAAGGGCAGCTCTCCTGTCTCGTGGCCGTCCTCACCTCACTTGGCTCGATCATTCCTGCATCAGTCTGGCCTCCTGGGCTCTCGCTGATGTAGTCCTCTTCTTCCCAGTGGTCTGTGTCCCACTCTGCCGTGGCCAACTCTACTTGTTGCTGCTCACTGAGGAGCTTCATGAGGAAGCCCGTTCTGGAGATGAGCTTGGCACAGGACAGCTGCACCTGGGGGTCCGCACAGTCCATCTGCAGAGTCCTGATAACTTGTGAAATGAAGTTTCTCACGTCATTATTGGGGATGAGGGACCGAAGCTGCTGGTATAGTTGCCTTTCCAATTGGTGCACTGGGGATGACTGCAAGGGGTAGGTACTGCCTGTGGGCATGGAGGGGATGTCCCTGCCCATTAGGGTTCCCCCATTGCATTTTCTCAATGACCACTACTCAATCTCAGGGGAACAAGCGGCCAATGGATGCCCCTGGGCTGTGCTGGCAGGGGGAGATTCTTCTGGCACAGCTATGCTGTGTTTCAAAGTGTTTAAATTTGCTGCAGCAAGGATGGTTTCAAGAATGTCTTCCAGTAGGAGATTCTGGAAGAGCCATCGCTTCCAGGGAAGGCAAATCCTGAGAACTCAGGTCTCCAGAAGAGGGAGAAGGCTCTCGGGGAGGGGAATCTCTGTAGGGCAAGGAACGCAGGCCTCTTTCCATGTGTTGAGGGAATTCTGACTTCTCAACTTCAGTCTCTGGCTTTGGGGGTTTTGAACACTGCATCCAGGCATGAGACCCCTGTCCTGAGACAGCCACTTTTTTCCAAAGGTAACATAAAGCCTGTGATTTTTAATATTCCTCAAATATTGATCCTCTTTACTTTTTGGGCCAGACCAACCTTTTTAAGTGGACATGACCATAAAAGAAAGGACTGTTTTCCCATGTGTCTTGGTTGAGCAAACTTACTACCACAGCTATCTACATACTTGGGAGAGATAAGGGCCCTTAGTAAGCTATTGAGTGGGCATTTCATATTGTCATTACAGTGTTGTAGATCCAATGTTGCATGCTAGACTTACATATAAACATTTTGTGCATTAAAAGCACTTGAGACCTTTTTTCATGTTTTTATTACATTTGGACCTTTAAGAAACATATCATCAGATAATCCACTATTCAGTAAAAGTCTATTTTAGTTTTCTGAAGTAGATGTGTCACAAACTACCTTGCTTCTAGTCTCCACGACACCGCGTTTCACACAATGGCAGGCTCTACGCAATGGAATCCTGAGTCTTGAGGTTTAGACAATTTTCAAGTGGATAAACGTGATTCTGAGCTGTTTTTATTTTGGGATGTGCTGACATAATTTTAAACTTGTCTAGTTTGCTACATCACTCAACTCCTGAAGCTTTGTAATGTATTGTCTTTGGAAAACCTGGTAAAAAAAAAAAGGTAATATTTTCCCTCTATACAATAAAGACAAATTTACCACAACATATCCAGTACCAGTTGTATCAAAAAGTAGTACAGATTATGTGTATATGCTATGTTCCCTTGAATGACTAGTTCATGAGCTAAGAGCTGCTCTAACCCTGGGGACTTCTCCTGAATCAACATGATCCAAGTGTTGTGAGCTGCACACTACACTCAACTCCCTAACACCAGAGTGAGCAACAAACACTGATTAAATATAGAAACAGGTAAGCGAACACATACTGATCCATGATTATATCTTAAAGAAGGGAAGGAACTTTTGGAGGCTGCTGACAGGGACTGGGGGGAAGGTGGGTGGTTGGGGAGGAGGGGTTTAAAGCTATGGCTTTGGTAAGCACCCAAGTGAGCTGTAGGAAGGCATTTGAAAGAGTAGATTCTGCAGCATCGAAAGATATTTCCTAAAGGAGGTGAATGTCTTAGTTGTATCTAGATTCAGAGGCTTTCAGCACTTGAGGGCTGGAAACGAGATCCAAAGAAAAGAGCCACCTTCACAGCGGTTAAGAAAGGCTGACTGTGCCATGAGGCTCATGATGCTAAATGGTCCAAAAGCCTTTGGTGGTGTGACAAGGACAAGGAAAAAAAAATACACAAACCACATAACACCATTAAAACCAAAAAAACTTTTTTTCATTTAAAAAAGTATTCTGAACACATAAAACAAGGCAACATCTATTCTTTCTTCTCCTCCTCTGGGATGGGGTCTGCCGGCGGTTCTTCCACCGTGGCACTGTTGCTGTCCGAGCCGGTGTTACTGTCACTGGTTCCTTCCTCGGCCATGCTGTCGACCCCCTCCTGCCCGCTCTCCTTGTCCTCAGGAGTAGACGTGTCTTCTTCGCCATTCTGCTGGCTCTCTGTTGTTTCTTCCAGTTGTGTCTCCTCTGTAATCACACACGGTCACTGTCAGTTCCAGGACAGAGCTCTGCTCTAGCTATGCTGACAGTAGACAGCTGTGCTGTCCACACGGTGGCTACGAGCCACTGCAATGAGCCAGTGCTAGGGGGGAATTTCTCAGCATGCTTACAATGATTTCGGTTGTGAAAATTCACTTCCTAGCCATAATCTTACGACATTTATCTACAGATTAAATACTTTTGAAGAAAATTCAGCTGCTAGATAGAGATATGCTCTAAGTATGAAATGTACACAGGATTTCAAAGTGCATGTGTAACTCCTCTATTTCCAGTGGACAGAGCTACTCTACCTGGCTTTGCACTGAATGAGGAATGAGCAAGTGTGGAAAGAATATGAGGCTGCAATTTCAGACACTTTGTTCAAAGTCATGTGGGGCTGTTTTCTGCAAGAAATTAATAGCACAAGGCTTGATCTAAGAGTCCCAAATAATTTTCCTCAATTTTCTTTCTTGAGCTCAGAGGGCAGAATCTGAGTAAACTGTTGGAGGCCAGATGACAGATGCCTCATGTACAGAAGAGAACACAGAGTGAGGGGACAAAGTTCCTCTCCGGCTGCAAAAAGTGCAGAGAACTGACTTTGATCCTCAACTCATGCTTTCACCACAAAAAAATGTGCTCATGTTCCAGATCTGTTAAGATTTACAAAGTGTCCTACAGAACAGAGGGTTAAATAATAAAACTTGACATTCATCCGTCTAAGGTCTACCTAGAGCAGGTGCTGTGGCGTATCAGGCTGAGCCATTGCTTGGGATGGCACTCCGTGTGCCACGGCCTGGGGTCATCCAGTTCTGCCTCTGTCCCCCTTGCTAGTGCACAACCTGGCACCAGCAGCTCAGGGCTCACACGAGTGCCTGAGCCGCTGCTGTGGGAAAGGCAGACGGAGTCCCTGGCTCCTGTCTGCCCCAGAGACAGAACAGACTCTCTTTACTTTTCAAGTGAATAAAGACGAAGAAATATTAAAACAAACACAAAACAAAAACAGAAACCTAAAATATTTAATCTGCTCAATGAAGCCACTTGGAATGATCTTGTGAGAACATCTATGCTCCATTAAGTGTCCCACTGTCCATCATCTGAGTGCCAAGTACAGCCACTATCCCTTCTGCTGGCAGAGACTGTGCAGTGTGCGTCTGGATACTCCCTGCGCCTTCTCTCAGCTCAGCCCTGCTGACCTGGTGTACCAGGCAGGGTTAAAACTGACAAAAGGCAAGCTGATCACAGAACTTCAAGTAATAATTCATCTGATTAGTACCTGACTGAAGATTTCCATGTTTTTCACAATGGGGGATCTTTTAATCAGGACGACTGGTATACCGGAAGTGTGGTTTTCTAGGACTGGGAGGCCTACCTGTAAAAGTGTGAGGCTTTGTGAGCCAGAGAGGCTCTGCTAGAACTACCCCAGATGCACCACTGTGGACCCTAAGAAGCCACAGAAAAACAGCATGACTGTCCCAGTAAAACCTCACTGGCAAAGTAATGGGGTATTGGCCTGCAGGTTCTACTTTGCCAAAGGTGGTCCTAGACACCAAAGACCATCTGAAGAATAGTGTTGTTGTTAGCAGTTAATCAGGTTAACAGTAAGGGCTAAAATCATGGCTCCACATGAACTCCAGGAACAGGTGTCTGAGTGGCAGGTACTAGAGTACATCAAGGGAGGAGACTGCAGTGAAATCGTTCATCAGAGAGGTGGAGCTAGCAAGCAGCGATGCAGTTCCAGATTCAGGCTTGATTCCAGAGCTGGTACCACGCCACTTGACATTCTCAAGCCAGAGAATGATGGCAACCAGCTTGGGCACAGGAGAGCCCTTGGCTCCCAGACTGAGGACAGCTGCTCAACCTTCCGGTGAAGGCACCAGAGAGGGTGCTGTGTGAGGGACTGACTAGGTCATACAGAGTGGCCTGTGATCGGCTTTTCCGTGGTGGTGCTGCTGGCTCACCTGTCTCCATTGGAATGTTCTCGTCGTCTTTCTTATCCTCGGCCTTGTTGGCCACTTGCTCTTCCTCAGGAACGACGCTGCTCTGAGTGCGCTCGGCCTGCTCTGCCACCTCCTTCTCCCTCTCCTCCTGCCGCTTGCGGGCCTGCTCCTCTGCCTGTGCAATTTCAGCTGCAATTTTCTCCATATCCACTTCTACCTTCAAACCGCACAACTAGTAGTTAGAAAAAAAAAAAAAGAAAACTTTCAGTAATGTCTTTTAAGTTTCTATTCTAGAGAAATCATTTCAGAAATGGGTCTTCTTGCCTACAAAATCACATAAGGGTACTTTTGCAAAGTTCATGGAAAAATGAAATGAAACAATGAATTTTCCATGTACTTTAAAAATTTATTTATTTGAAAGGTAGAGTGTCAGAAAGAGAGGGGGAGAAGCAGGGGGTGAGAAATAGAGAGCCATCTCTGGTTCGCTCCACAAATGGCCCGACAGCTGCAATTCTCAGGGACACAGCCACGCGACATCACACAGCACGCACAGTGAGGCAAGGCCGAGGGTGTCGCGTCACACATCGTGCTTGCATTCTTTTAGGTTATAAAACTGGGTTTATTTGTCTTAATACAAAATATAAGCTGTGAGCTTTAACTAATGAAAGCATTTTGATGGATAAATTTTCTTAAGATGACAACAATTCATAACTTCATGGCTGTTAAAACGTAAGAGGGCTCTTGTACTCACAAGTCTGGCAAAATAGTGTATACTGTATGATACTTCACACTTATACAGTCATGCCAGAAAATGGAATTAATTTTTATAGGGTGAAATTCTTAAGACTCTATAGCAAAATGAACTGTTTTAAAGTGAATAAGCTTCACGAACATTATTTTGGAAAAAGGAAAAAACTCAGCGACAAAGTAGCATATTACATCGATACCCTTTTGAGTTCATTGTTGAATGAATCTGTGCTTTCCAGGAATTTCCTCTTCTTCTCCTGGTGTCGCTCCTCTATTTGAAGAAGTTCAGCTTCCAGCTTTCGCTGCAAGACACACAGCAGGCCTTGGAATCGCTCTCGAGGGCAGAGGTCAGCACACACGCCTCATTTTCTGATGGCCCACACTTTCCAACGTTGGACAAGAAGGGCATTTTCATCTTAAAGTAATTATTATACAAGTCCAGCAAAGATTTTGAAGATATAAAATGTAGCATAGAGGAAGGACTATGGTTAATAAGTGAATGCTAAACAACACTGTTCTATACCTCGGCAATTTTGTGGGAAAAAGAATACTAAGTAAAGCATTAAAGGGAATCTCAAAAGTCCTAAAGTTTATGCATATTACTTGGCAGAAGTATTTTCCAAGGCTCTCTGCTACCACTTTATGAAAAATACAAACTTAATCAAACTCAAGAAAGGTCAACTCCCTTAGCCTCTTTCTGGAATGAGGAGCTGTTTGCTCAGACTGTAGTATTTCACACTACATTCATGCACAGATGGAAGCGCCACGGGTCCTGGGACCGGGGGCACAGGCCTGTTCTACTGTAACGATGCACTGTGAGCTTACCTGATGAACCATGAGGGACTGGACCTGTCGTTTAAGCACCTGCATTCGAGCTGTTGTAACGACGGACCGCACATCTGGCACCACACTCTCACTCAGGATCTCACTAATGAGGCGGTGGTTTCTTTGGAAACGGGCAGTGGCTGTATGCTTCATTGAAAAGCCATCATCATAATCTGGAGGGAACAAGACATTCTGGAAATTAGGTCCCCAGCAGCCGTTAAACAATGTGAACATTGAACTCCTAAGGAAGCCTGGCTCTCATTGGCCCACCATGTGGGCCTGACAGTCTGGGAGTGCTTGGGCACCTACCTGACAGAAACCGCAAAGGACGAAACATGCTCTCTGGCCACGGCACTGGCTTGTCTCACAAAGCCCCTCACTGCTGGTGTCTGAGAAGCATTTGGCTGAAGCACAGGGAGAGCTAACCAGTCATCCCTCAGCCCAGGAGTGGAACTGAAGGCTGTGTGGGATACCAGGAACTGGAGTTCTCTGTTTCACTCTCGTGGACATAACTTAAGGCATTTAACAACTGCTGGACAACATATGGACTGAGTGGTGTCTTTCACCTTGCAGCTCCGTAATATTAAGGTGATGACAATGGCC